AGCATGTCTTCCTCTTCTTATTGAGTCCCATCAAGTGTGTTCAAGTAATTTCCACAGACAAGAATAGATCCACAAATCCCAGCGCTCATGGTGTGCACAGGCATAATTAACATAAATATGATCTCTGATGAGGACCAAGAAATAACAAGAAACTCCATAAAAAGAACTAATATCTAAAGTTTGGGGGAGAAAAGAAAGAGGGAATAAACAAAAATAAACAAAACAAACAAAAGTGTAAACATGATACGTAAAAATGCTGGAATATATATAAATATATATATATATATATATATATATATAAAATATGTATAAATATTCATCGATAATTTCATTTTTTTTACAGTTTTATTAGTTTAATTATTTCTTACATCATTAAAGTGTTTTTTATCACCTCATTATCTCTCGGAGGTTTCCCCCTTGGAATGAGGTTTTCTCTTCTTTTTTTATTCATTTTGGTTTTACTAATTCTACCAACATTTGCTCTCGGCCCAGCAGGTTTATTCCAGAGTCAGTTTGAAGATGCCAATCAGCCAATCATGATCTCTACGGGTTCCGGATGAGGATGTCGTTACAGTATTAAAAAAAAAAAAAAAAAAACTGCCCGAGAGGTCTTTGCGGGGTTTTAGCGAGGTTCAGCGAGCCGTTCCGGGACATGCTGAGCACGCTCTTAATTACCAATCAGAGAACATCAGTGGGTTTTCATGTGGCAGCTTATTGGGGGTTTAGGAGCAGCACGGTTGCAGCCCATGATGTGGCGTAAACGCGCTAAAAATGCTTGCTGATACATAGCTAAACAGACACTAACGGCGGAGGCGCGGAAACCTCCTGCAGGCCGCGATAACACCATGATGACCTCCTGGGGCAGCATCCCGAATCCGCATCCTGGTAGAGCGGTTCCAGAACATTTCGTCAGTTTTCGATGTAATTACGACAGTCAAGAAGTCGGATCATCGTCGGAGCGTGTTTTGGCTCAAGACAGCGAAGGATAACGCACACGACGAGTGCTGCACAGAAAGAGTTGCAGTAATCAGGATGTTGTCTTGGTGTTCCGGTCACAGCGGGTGTCTCACTGCTGCGTGGGTACATGAAGATAATGATTGGATCTGGGCTGTGGAAATGGGTCAACATCCTACAAGTGTGACGTTTATCTTTGCTCTTAAATGTGCTCAACAGATCTTAGTGCGTGTTGAATTTGAACTGAAACTGACTTGTTTTTTTCAGTTGGTGATAATGGTTGAGACAAAATAGAAAAAGAAAAAATGTTTAAATGGTATGTATATATATATATAAAAACAAGGATTGAAATAATTAAATGGTATAAATGTTTACATCTGGATAAAAATCATGACTTTAACATGGATAACTTCAAAGCTACTTTGGCTTTGCCGTTTGTTTATTCATTAGTGTTTTATCATTTGCCTGCTTGTTCATTTAACCATTTCCCTGCTTTGCTTTTTCCTCTGCAAACCAGCAGAACGACACACATCTCAGACGAGCAAAGGAAAAAATGTCGTTCTTGTCGCCATCATACGGCTTCCTTTGCGATGCGGTTCACTGAACGGGTGGAGAAGGAGAACGGCACACGGAGGAGAAAGAGGAGCTGACTCCACCGGCACCACCAGGAGCTGCTTCAAACATGGCTGCTCACATCAAAGCCCGCCTCGTCTCCCCGAGGGAGCGGCTCGGGACTTGGCGGTGGCTCGCCTCGGGTCGAAGCGTGGAAGCTCTCGCCTCCTCAGAAGGCGGTGGCGGATACCTGCGGGCTGCACCCGAGGAGCCGAGGCAGATGGCAAACTGCTGGCTGGAAGTTCCAGGACGGCAGGGAGCGCACGGCGCCCTCAACGGATCCAGTTGGCTGCTGGTTTGCTGACTCCATCAGGGGGGCAGTGGGTGCGGCTGGGCTTTTAGACGCGTCTGTTTATTTGAATATTTCACTTCATAAATAGGTAATGCCATCTCATTATGAAGGTACATCAATATTGTAGTGATAAGCTGAAAGCAGAAGGAGGCGGTTGTGTTTTGAGGCTCGCCCAGCAGCCTTTTTTTTTTTCTTTCTTTCTTTTTCCACCAAACAAGAATGGGAACTTTGGGATTTTTTTTGAAGTAAAGGTAAAATGAATTTAACCTCAAATTTCTCTCTTTCTTGCTGTAGCAGATACGGTTTGGGTTCGGTCTCTAGTGCGTCAGGGCTACGACCTTCACACTGGTTTAGCTCCTGTTGTCTGAATTCATACAAACAAGTTGAAACCTTGAGCTGGGGTAACATCTGAACAACATTTGGTGCTTTTAGGTGTGGGGAAAAGAGCGAACATGGAATTCCCTCCATGTCTATCAAGAAATTAACTTTATGTGATGATTCACAAGATTAGAGGGAGCGCTAATTGTTCATTTATTCAGTGTGTTTTTCCATCGTGAATGCACCTGTCTGATCTGGTTCCGAATCAAAGGCTTGAATTCACTCCAACCCAGAGATGACTGAGGGAAACGTGAAGCTGCAGGGAAGAAGAAAATCTATCAGTACAAAGACGTGGAAGAGCTACAACCACGCACACGCTGAGAGCGGCGTGGAGCTGCTAACTGTCCTGACATACAGCGTTCTGCACAACAATCACAACTCCTAACATTTCTCACATCTTGTTACTCTGCTGCCATCCATAAACTCAGTTCTATTCTGTTTGGAAGTGGAAGTAAAACGACTCATTATTTTCTACTTTTTCACAAATTCAAAGCTTAAAAGTGTGCAGCCCCCACAATTCACCAGTGGTCTGTGTCGGTCTGTGAGTGTTGTGATCTGAGCACGAATCCAACATGGAGGCCTCGGCTGTTTTTTTTGAGAAGGTCAGAGAATAAACAAAAAAACATACGGCGTCGTGGAAACATACGGCGTCGTGGAAACGGAGGAACACAGCGGACAGGTGAGGGGAATGTTAGAGACCAAGAGGCCGTGGTGTCTCTGGAGGAGCTGCAGAAACCCGCAGCTCTGTTAAGAGGACAGCTGTCCACTGTCCTCTTCGCAACTCGTTTTTACGGAGCTGAGGCAAGAAGAATTGCATCAACAAGTTCCGTTTGCAACAAGTCACTGCAAATATGTAGAAATGTGTGATTTGGGTAAATGAGATGTGCTTGAACTGCTAAAACTCCCACTCCTCCCTCTCTCTCTTTCTCTCTCTCTCACACACACACACACGTGTGCACCTGCACACACGCATATGCAGGACAACATGAAAGCTTCTGCTAGCGAAGCCACAGAGGCTAGCAGCATGCAGCTCTCAGATTTATTTCAACTAGAAACTCGAGAAATAGCAGACTTTCAGAAACGATTATTATCAATGACTATCAAAGCTTTATTTCAGTAATCGTGCCTCAGAAATAAGTCAGTATGTGGATGTTGATTGGACATTTCCAAGCAATAAATCTGACATCAGAAATGAGACCGCAGTAACCAAACGGTTAAAAAGACAGATACGACAGTTATAACTTTTCTGTTATTCCGTGCAGCTTTCTGATTCTAATTAATGTAGCAAATAGATAAATAAATGCAAAGCTGTCATATGTTATGATGATTATACCACACATATGTATATTTAGATTACAGTAAAAATAACATTTTCAAGTCAAACATTTGTTTCATGATGGTATTTTGTAAGACTGGCAGTAAAAAAGAGCAGCCAGTGCCTCCCGCATGCAGACGTATTTGCAGATAACCATTTTTGCAGAAATGCTGCGTGTGTTTCGACCACCTATCATGAGTAAATGATAACTGTTATTGAGCATGAGCCGTTCATATCCACAGACATAAAGTGAATCCAGAAACAACAAACCGCGTCCTGCAGAGGGGATGGCTTCTACTTTCACAGTAATTCTAGTTTTTTTTTTGGACAGCAATGAACGTTTTTAGACTTACTGCGACTGAAGCAGAGTCCTCGAAAACATTTTGCAATTTAATTGATACCCATCGCCAGATTCTACAAATTCAACATTTGAACAGCCATGTTTGAATGCATGCGCAAAAGAAAGGGGGGTAGATGGCGTAGTAAGACTATCGCTGCTGACGAAGACAAGTTTTGCTATCATCAAGATTAAATGGCAAACATGACAGCGTGACACAACGGCTGCTGAAGAAAAATCACAGTTCAACCAAAACCTGAACATTATGTGTCTTGTAATTCACAGAGAAATATCAGGTAGTGTTTTATATATATATATATATATATATATATATATATATATATATATATATATATATATATATATATATATAATATATATATATATATATATATATAGCTTAAGCTAATTCCCTGTAATCAGTTGGCACATGTTAGGTCTTCAAAATAAAATGGAAACAATGGTGAAATCTACTAAAACTTAAACGTCTTTATTATTGCATTCCTGAATGTTTCATAAGACCTCTGTGATCTGGAGAGGAATCCTTACCTTTGAAAATGACTGTTGGCGTGAAAGAGAAATAAATTCATTTCACAATGTTGATCTGAAATATTCGTAAAACCACAGACAAATTCTGCTTGACTACTAAAAAGTCTCACATCAGATTTTACTTGTTTTTTTGTTTTTTTTTCACCAGACCAGTATAAAAATGTTTCTTTTAGCTCCCACTGGAAATACTGGTCCAGTCAAATAACCAGAGCTCCTTCTCCCAGTGCATTCTACTGCTGGTGCAGAATACTTTCCTCTTGATGCTATGAACTCGTGAGGAACTGGGCCTCCTTTAAATTGCTGAAAGTGGTATTTTGTTTATGAATCACACCAAGAGGTAATTAAAAGAAACCTTTTGGGTACAGCTTGAAACGTTTTTACGACAAAGCCTGCTCAGAACGGATGGCATTTACTAACAAGAAGCTCCTCAGACTGTTTAACGTCACAGAACATTACAGAAATTTAACGGGTCATATTTTAAGTTATGAAGGAAAACTCCAGGAGACGTTCTTATGCAACAATGATGACTGGCTTTAGAGTCATTTCCCCCCCTTCCTACGTACCTGTAAACAGCTCTCTTGTCAGACTCAAGCTGGGCCTGGGGGTCAAGGGTCACACTGACAGAGTTATTTCCTGCTGCAGAGGCTGCTGGGATATGGACCTGTGGGGTCTTGGAGTTCTGCTGCGTGGTGCCCGTCATCTGGCAACAAGAGACAACAACAACAAAAAAACACAAAGTTAATGACGATTTGAACTTCCGTCTCTCACAAAGGGTTTGGGTGGAGATCAGTCAGAGTCAAAGCTGGGAAACAATACTCTGCTTCCAATTAGGAAATGACAGAATGCAACAACTTCATCATTGGTCCCCGTTTCACCGAAAACAGCACAACGGATTGGTGCAAAGGGCCTAAAGAGGCCTTCAATGTGTTGGGAGAAAACAATGAGTTTGGACCCAAAAGAAAGTGGTCTTCCACTTCAGTCCTTTCAGCTTTATTGTCAGTTTTAATGTTATTTTGAAAGTATATTCAAGTTACGTAAAGTACCTAGAGAGAAACTGCTCCAGTTGGACTGGCACTGATTAGATCAAAGGAAGGACAGTAAACGCGGTTCGAGGTTTTGGTGTGGGAACTCATCATTCAGCATACATAATGTGACAAACCTGAGTTTCACGTTGTTGTTTTTTTTTTTTTCTGAGAACTTCATAAGTGAGCGACCACGTTCTCCAAACCGAGTCCACAGCCGTCGTCGTTGCATGGCCCGCTTTCCTCTCCCTCAATCAATCACTCCATGGAAATGGGTCTAACGTCTCCCTTCCCCCCTGTTTTTTTTTTTTTTTTGAGTCAGCCTGAGGTAGCAGGAAGCTTCAAGTCTTAATCCCAACAACAAATGGGAAATAAATTACCTTCTTCACACTTAACTAGTTCTCATTTGCATTTGCGGAGTGCCTGTGCTGCAGCTCCGGACCTCTCCCCCTGGCACTAATCCTCCGGGCGAGACCGGAATGCGGACGAGAAGGAATAATAGGTGATCAGAAGAAGATGGCGTGCGGTGTGGCCGTCGGACCGTCAGCGCGGCGCTTCAGGGTGCGCGTCTGTTTTATGGCGGCGATTTGTTTTAAAATTAGGCCTTCCTGCAGTAACCAGCAGCCTCCATAATTTCCACCGGATTTCTACCTGTCTTTTCAGATATTTCCATTCGCTCGTGTATACAACGTGCAACTTTACATTTGGGGCACAGATCATTTAAATCCACACAATATTGGGATTACTAAAACTCGCGCGCTTTTTGAAACCGTTTCTATCATGTTTCTGGCTACATATTTGACTGTTTCAATCAGAAAAGACAGAACTCACTGAAGTGAGTGGGCATTCTGCGATGGACCCCGTCACAACATGAACGTCACAATTATGACTGTAATTATCATAACAGTCAGCAAATTTTTAATGAAAAAAATAAATAAAAAATTGAAATTGAAGTTCTAGAAGCTAAAGATTATCTACTGAAATTGTTGATAATGTGGTGGGGCGAATGAGGGGAACCTGGAGAACTTGTAGGTGAACATATGCTTTTATTGTTCTGTTTACCGTATGGAAGACCATCAGCAGTCGCAAACAGACACTAAGGATGTCGTCACACCTGGTGGCCCGGTCGACCCGATGCTTCTACTGAAAGTCCAGACAGGAATCAGTCGACTCAGAAGCAGGCCCAGACCCAAGCAGGTTTCAAAGCAATCCTTGAGATTTCCTCCTAACAAACATTCGTGCGTAAACCCCCGTGTGTCATGTCTGCAGTCGACTGCTGATGCTTCTTTGAATCTTTTGTTTTAGTTTTTGATCAGTTGTTCCTGTCTCTCAACTTTTAATTAAATTAGCAATGTTTAAGTGAAGATGAAGATGATAAAGGAAATCAATCAAGGAGGTGTCATTATTTTTTTTTATCTAGTTCATGCAAACATGCTTTTCTGAGAAATGGTTCTGCTGAGAGATTATGAGTAGTTACTGACCTGAGCTTGGTTTGAATGTTCCCTGAACCCCATTGTTAATTAGAACAATAAAAGGACTTATCCAAACAAATATGTCATTTCAAACAATTTCAGTTTTAAAGCTTTTTATAGGGTTTGTATATTTTATGTCTGCATTAAAAATGCCTGACCTGGAAAATTTCACGCTGATTAAAGATTATTTCATTTGTACTTCTGTGGGTTTTTTTTAAAATTATTATTAATTATTTGCAAATAGAAAAAGTGGGAATCTTAGTTTTTCCAAAGCGATTGCTAACCCATAATCTAATGGGATTTCAGAAATATGTTATTGTTGTGTGAACTAACTCTTGTTAATCTCTCTCTAACTTCTCACTCTCACTGATATTTTGAAGAAGACTTTTTTCAGATTTTGCAAATGCATTTTGGAGCGAAGCATGAAATGATCTACGCTCTGACAGTTCCCCCTTTCCTTTGGGGGACGGGCTGCGGTTAAAGATGTCGCACTCACCTGTTGACTTTCCTGGTACGTTGGAGGAGGAACGCTCTGGGTGGCCATCATTGTCACTGCAGGCGGTGGGGAATCATGTTGCATCATGGGACAGCTTCACATCGAGACTGGAAGACACAAACGGGGAAAGAAAGATCACCAAACATGAATCGGGTTTGAAAGGTGCTTTTAAAATCCATTACACCGGCAGCCACCAGGTGCTGCTGTGTCTGAATAATCAAAAAGGAAACACACACACACACATGGCATCTCAGTCTTCTTCTCCTGATCTCGACAGACTCGTTCATTTCTTTCTCTTTTCTCCTGAGTCTGCCTCTGCCTGGTGCTGCACAGAACTAGCAGACAAGTCAGGATGATGTATTAATACGGAGTGATCAACCAACGCAACCAAGCAGAAAGGAAACAAATGAGAACATTCTCATTCACCAGGCCCGTTCCACAAATATTCAGCAAATACTGAGCAGCGGCAGCGGGCCTCTGATGGCGCCACAGACAAAAACCCGAGTATTTGTTTCCCAATTACGGAGAGCCGGGCCTGTTTACTAATTGGAGCTGGCTCTAACGCCACGCTCCACGATGGAGCCACAGTAGGAAAGTCGCCTCTGTCAGTTGACTGCTGGTGTTGTTGTTGCACTTTAACCAAGCAAGTCATGAAGGCTAATTAGGGCTCTTCGGGACCCCACAGGGTCGAGGACAGTACCCTGTGGAACTCTGCTGTAACCACTGGCCCCACCCCCACTGATGGAGCTAATTGGCTCGGGGGGAACATGACACACACACTGCCACACCAATAGACCCCCTGCCCGCCCCCCGACAGCACAAACACACACAGCAGGTCATCCAGCCTGGAGCTCCGCATAACACGTGCCTTGAAAACACACCTGAATATGTAGCCTTGTCTCTTTTTGTTTTCAGTATTAACAGAAATTCTTAAAATTAAGTCTAAAATGGTGTCCATGGAAGGCAGTGGACTAGTGGGCTTGGGTCAACTGGTATTGACTTGGAGGAATCGTTTCATTACATGTTCCTCAAATGAAATATATATATATATATATATATATATATATATATATATATATATATATATTATATATATATATATATATATATATATATATACACACACAAAAAGACACTTGAAAGAGGCCCTAAAACTGCATCCTTGTCTGTCTGGATGTTTTATTCGTCCGAATAGAAGAACTTAGTCGACTCCAGCTTGACTCAATTTCTAATTCCTTATTATGACAAAATGACATTCAGACACGACGTCATACCTAAAATGTGCTGACAAAATCAACCCTGCTCGTTATGTTTACCAGGAAAAACATTGATGTTTCCAGTCCTTATTTTCCACTGAAAATACTATGATGTAGAAAAAAACCCACATTGCTGAAAAAGATCATGCATGACAGAGAGATGAAGTCACTTGGCTTTGTGATAAAACAGATTATAGATTGTTAAACAGAGAGAGATGAGCGCCACTCTGTTCCATAGTCCTCTGTTTAATCTGCTTGTTATGTCCGGACAACAACTAGACATAAATATGTTTTAGGCCCTCTTTGCATCTGCTCTCTGCCATAATCTCGTCTTCACTCTCTGAATCTGTACAATAGTCCAGCATGACTAAGAGAGTCGGATCCTGGCACTGCCTCCGCCTGGAGAACAATGCAACTGAGATTCTTCTTTGTCTGATTGGTATCCAAGCCAAGTGTCGCTGCCAACATCCTGATAATAAATGGTGGTTTGGTTTCTAATTTAAGGTTTCAGCTGAAAAAATCTGCATTTCTAACGTGCCTCGCCGTTGCCGCGCGCGGACTTGTTTGCGTGCCACGCGCGTCGCCTCCGCGAGTCATTCCGTGTTCTGATTGCGTCTTCTGGTTTCTGTTCCCGACCCAGCTGGTATCAGCTGAAAGACATCTTCTCCGTTATCAGCCCTCATTTTAATTGCAAATGCAGCGAGCGTGTTAGTGATTAAATGGAAAATTGCACATTAATTGATGAGACTGAAGATAGAGCCAGTCCAATTACCACATGGTATTTTGGGCCTCTCAAGTTTTTCGCTGTTCCTCGAAGGAACAAGCCGCCAAATGCCAAGTTTGAGCAGGCAATTGGGCATCCATAAATATGCACAAAGAGACACAAAATGTGTGCACAGACACACGCCGCACGCTGGCTGCCCAGGCGTGAAAACACATGCAAGAAAGACAAGAAGGAGGGAGATAAAAAAAAAGAAAAAGGGAGACTAATTTTAACACACATGTCCTCCTCACTGTGAAAGTACAAACCTCGCTTTGAACTCACCAAAGGTGTACAGTTACACAATAGGCTGTCGAAGTCATTGTGAGGACAAATGACATGTTTGTTTCTCAACAAAGGCCTTGGAATTATGACACAGTTCATAACGCATATCAACGGGAGAGTGCCTGTAGTCACAATCAAAATTCAAAAGCAAGCATAAAGTGGAAAATGAGAGAAAAGTAGGCATAAAATTATTCCGACCAACATCAAAGGCTTTCCCGAGTTTAGATTGGAGGCAATTTCCCTTTCAGTGGATTCTGTGCAGTAAGAAACACTTTTGCTCACAATTCAATTCTCCAACAATGTCAGGCATACGATGTCCTTCTTCTGCATCGACACAAGGTTGGGCGGCTTCCCTCTCGCCCTCTTTTACCTGCAGCACTGGGACGAAAAATCATATCAGATCTCCTGTAATCTGACTACTGACCGCCACCACTAAAGCCGAAATATGTCTGGAGTCATTTTTCTTGTCAGCCTGAAGGGAAATTTGTCACACGTGGCTGAAATTCAAATCGAGGTGAACTGGGATTGCTTCCCGCTTCCAAATGAACTGAACTTCAGAGCGTTTTACAGTCATAAACACATCAACAGCCAGCACTGAAACATAAACTTAAATGGGTTTTAGCCGAGTCCGAGCTGGAGAGAAAAAAAATAAAGAAGAGCAGCATCAGCCAGGTTTTAACTTGAGACCTGAACGTTACTAATCGAGATCGTATTCTGGGCAGCTTTCTGGTTTTTACATTTCCATCACAGTGTGAATATTTCATTGCATTTGCAAGGATTCTCTTAATTTTGTGCCCACAAATTAAAATATTTTCCTCAAAATGATGCTATTGCTAACAATATAACTATATAACTAAAGAATGAACAAGTTATTTACTTTATGAAAGCTCCGTTAGGTTTGGGTTTGTATTTTTCTTGGTGACTTTATGTCATTTCCATTTGAAGTTTAGATTGCTTTAAAACCTGGATTTGGTCTAAACCTGGAACAAACATACAGGTTTAAATCATTGCGAAACAAAAAGATGTATCCTGGCTTATAATCTAATTAGTTTGTCATAGCTTCTCGAAAGAAAGAAGCAGTGAAACAAAGTACCAAGTCAGTTTACGACGGACGTAAAGTTGAGACTGCGTGACTTGTACTGAACTTCCTTTGGAAAAAGCAACGTTTGCTAAAGATTCAACACAAAAAAAAAACTCCAAAAAAAAACAAAGCAACATTTCTCTTTTGTATCCAGAACCGTTTTTCTCAGAAACTTTTAAAACTCATCTCATCCCTGCTTGACCGTGTTTCCACAGAGATCCGAGGATGTTCTTAGATTAGGAACGTTAAGTCCCCATGTCGCTCTTTGTGTGTTCTTGGAGTGTCGCTCTTTTGGAACGGAGTTTAAAAGTAAAAAAAAAAAATAATCCATAGATTGTAGATTTGGTCTCATAGTGGAACAGTCCCTTTTGTCTGCAAGCACTCAAAAACCTCAGCGTTCATTTGCCTTTGTCACAGGGGAGAACCAAACAAAACACTCTGACTTGCAGAACGACGTTTTGTTTTAGAAAAGTTAAACGTTATCCTTTGATTATTTCACCACAATTACACTGTCATTTAAGCACAATGGTCTCTATTTTTATTAAAGTGGATGTAACCAATCCTCATTTGTTATGACATGACAGTAGGAAAAAGAGTGAAAAATACATTAAATAAAAACAGCCACAAATCTTTGCCTGTGTAATTATTTTTGCAGCAATTAAAATGTTACATAAAAGATTTAGCAATATCTATTCAAGTATTAACCAAGGGTTTTTCAAACCAGTCAACGAACATAGATCACCTTTAGTCAAAATTCAAATTAATAACTGGTTGGGCCAGCCTCAGCAGCAACAACTGCAGTCAAGCATTTTTGCAGAATTGATGTAACTGAGTCACACTGGATGGATTTTGAGCATGAACTGCATTTTCAAGGTCATGTCACAGCATCTCAATAGGATCCAGGTCAGAACTTTGTCAAGGCCACCGCAGTGTTCATTTTATTTTTCTTCAGTTATTCAGTGGTGGACTTGCTGGTGTGTTCTGGATCGTTGTCCTGCTGCAGAAACCAAGTTGGTCTCAGCTGGAGGTCACACACAAATGGCCGAACATTCTCCTTCAATCCAATCCCCTTTTCACACAGCGTCATGTAGGTTTGGATTTTTTTATTTTTTTCTCCCTTAATAATAAACACCTTCATTTAAAAACACCTGTTTTTGCCAATCTGTGTTGTCTTTGGCTAATACTTAAACCAGTCAGATGTTATGAAACACAAAGTGTAATAATAATATTCCCGTTCGGACGCCGTCCTCAATCATGGATGCAAATTTAAATTGATGTTGAAAATGCTCTGCAAGTATTCAACAGGGCAACATTTTTGGCAGCCAGTCCAAAACTCACGCCTACATATGTGGGAACGGTCTCCGATCAGAGCCTCATTTGATCTATCCCATTCAAATATTGCTGATAGGAAGTTGACCTGCAAAAGCAATGAATAACATTTGGAAGTAGGCATGTCACCTTGGTCAGACATTATGCATCTTGAGGGTTGCTGAATAAATAAATCAGGTGTTTTTGAATATGAGTGGGATCTAATCATCGCCTTATTGTCAGGCCTGATTTACAATGCAAACACCAGGAGGCAAAGCCTTGATGGTGTTGAGCAAAGCCACGGAGGGAAGGACGGAATGGCAATGAGATCTGGACCTGCGAGGGAGGAGTCTGTGTACATAATTGTGCCTGGACTCCACAGAGAGAAAAAAAAAATCGAAAAACACACAGATCGGG